GGGGGGGGGTTGTACAAGATTTTTGTCACCAGATAAATGGAATTTCTACCTAACTACTGAAGTTATCTTTCGAATGCAGATGATTGGTCTCTTGACTACGTTCCAGTTTTGGGATCTGAAGAAATTTGCATTGGTGGTCAACGTTTGAGAATCATTTCAGCTCCTGTAATTTTTATGGACAAACCTTTTTCCTCTAATCAGTGTTCAGTTTTCAATTATTTCTTTTCCTCATTATTTCTGCCTCTAGATATCTGCTAGAAGCTCAACCAGTTTTAATAAATTGAGCTTCAGCCAGCAGCACCGTGTTCCCACTTTTGAACTCATTTGGGCTTTTGTCTGTTAGGAAATAGGTTTGTGTTCCACCAGTTTTGAATATTTTACTCCTTTTTTGCATTAGTCAAAATTATATCATCCTCAAACTTTAAGTTGAACCCCACGTAATCCTAGAGTTAGCTCTCTAGTTCCTTTCTGGATGTATTTATTGCACCACCAAATCTTGGCTCATATCTTTGGTCTTAGGGCACAAGCCTCCCTACATCATTTCAATTCCTTGCCCTGCATATTGCTTTGGCTGTTTGTTCAAGCTACTTAATCCTTCTCTGTGGTTGTTTTGAAATCTGCAAATTTGAGATATATGATATGTTTTGTTTTTGTTTCCTTTCTGTTGAAATATGTAACAATTCGTGCTTTTGGGAAATCTTATCAGGGGCATACGGATGGCCACATGTCATTGCTTCATGTCAGTACTCACTCACTGATAGTGGGTGATCATTGTGTGGGGTAAGATACCATAGAAGAAGATTTTAATCAGATTTAATTATCCACATATTTGTATGAAGGGCAGGGTACTCTAAATAATTTGGCTTTCCTATCTGTAGGTGATAGATGTTTCAAGAACTTCGACCATGTGTGCTGTAACAACCATAAATTATTGTCCTCTGTAGAATTTCTTTAGAGATTTCAATCATGTTGGCAAAGTTAGAAGTGCTAAAAACCATGAAAAGTTTATGTCCCAAAAAACTGTGAAAAGTTATCATATCTTGCTCTTTTCGGAGAAAGTTAAGAGAGTCCTTACTAAAATTTCTTTTGCAATTTAATCATGTTGGACTAAGTAGTTTGTGCATCTCTTCCTCGAGATGTTTTTTTCAGTTTAAGTACCTCACCTTTCTTGGTTAAGTGATGAGCTGATGAATATATGGATTCATTTCAGCCAAGGAAGTGCCCTCTTGGATATTACATCTGGTGGAAATATGAGTGTAAGTATATTGCAATATTTTTTTCTCCCATTTACTGTTATGCAAATTCCAAACTCAAATTTCTCTTCATCTTTAAAGAACCTGGTTCTTCCATTTTCAGTGCAATGAAAAACAAGACGTGATAGGGAACATCATATACATTTTAATTTCGTATAACCCCCACCCACAAGTAGCTGTGGGACCATGGACTTTCATGTCTATTTTATTCCACTAATATCTTAAGGGGAGCAAGGTCGTTTTGATTATGTTAAGATTTGGGGGTCCATCTTAAAAGGTCAACCTTGTTAAGAGGAGTAGTCCAAGATCTTTATTAATTGGTATGTGTCAACATCATTTATCGATGTGGAATATATATTCCTTAACACGCCCCTGCAAGATGGTGGCTCATTTGAGCAGATCAATCTTGAAATCCACATGCTCATTTTAGAATTTTAACAGGATTGAATGGCTCATTAGAGCATAATGGACTCTGATACCATGTTAGGAATATTGGGCCTAACTCCACCTAATAAAACCGGCTTATTAGGGGAGGATTGTCCTCACCTTATTAAGTGGATCATTTATATTTTCCCAAACAATGTGGGATTCTAATAGATTATTATTCTCCTTTACCTCCATCTTATTTTAAAATTTTGACTTCTTCTACAGGATTATTTCCGCACAACTTACAAATTTATGGATCTTTCTCCACATGTGCTGATTCCCATGCATGGTAGAGTCAACATGTGGCCAAAACACATGCTTTGTGGATACCTCAAGTAAGAGACACTGGTCCTTCAATAATAGATTTCCGTGGCTTAAATTTTTTTAAAGAATACTCCATTGTTCAGTACTATGTGATTGAGAAAAAAATTCAAACACTTCGAATAAATTACCTACAATACTAATGGTACTTGCATAGGTAGATGATATATTTTGCTATTTATGCTTATGTTGTATTCTTAAAAATTTCAGAAACCGCAGAAATAGAGAATCTACAATCTTGAAGTCTATAAAAGGTGGAGGGAAAACGTTATTTGACATTGTTGCATATACGTATGCTGATGTTGATCGCAGTCTCTGGCTTCCTGCCGCATCAAATGTGAGACTTCATGTGGATCATCTAGCTCAGCAGGATAAATTACCAAAGGTAGCATTCATCTGCCTTTCTTCTCGAATTTTTGCATGTCCTATTTTGCATTTTTGTATATGAATGCGTTTGTTCTACGTAAATTATAATGGCAGAAAGTCAAAAATCTGCTGTCTTTGCACCGACACTTGGCTTCTTACAGTAGAAATCCAATCTTTCCTCTGAACCATGCAGGATTTCTCTCTAGAAAATTTTAATAGCAGTCTTGCTGAGTTTGCTGGAAATGTGGCTAAAATGTGAGCCATGAGGAAAGCTTCTCCTTTAGAACTTACCAAAACTATCTTAGGTTGGACTACTTCCCTGTGATTGTTTGTATTGAAATCCTAGATAGAGAAATATATCCAGCAATTGCACAGCTTACTACTAACTGTGGTTTTATATTTTATTGCTTGTGTTTAGTTTTAGTTCAACTATTCTCTTTTATCTCAGTGCACTTGACCTCAAACTCCACTCTGCTTTGCCATGTATAGGAATTTTCCCTACAAAAGTTTCAGTCGACTTGCAAGCTACATTTCCTGTCCCAATGGGCTTGGGCATATTTATGTAACGCTGTATCCTCAAAGAAATTTTGTCTACTAATGGCCAAGTTCTTAGGAGCTGGAGCTGTTGTTGCCATAGCTTTATTATATTCTGTACGAGAGATATTTGGTTCTAAGAAACTTGTGTAGTGAACAGGAAAATGAAGAATGTCATTAAGAGGAGCTGACAAATTTATAGCACAAAAATAGAGTATCTCCATTGTATGTTGGATCGTTAGAAAATTTGTGATTAGATTGAGTTTGACTTGGTTTTATATTTTGAATAAAGCAATGTTGTTATATTGCAAAATCTTGTTTGCTTATTTTGTGTGAGTGAATTTGTTCAAAAATTTGGCATAGATTGATGGAGTATAAGTCACCTGAAGGTTCATATGAAGGGGCATATTGACCTTTTATCTATACAGATTAGTAGTGTAAAGTCGAATGGATAATTACATCTAACACGACTCAACCCACCTACAATGCTCAAAGACGATAGTAGGAGCAGAAACTCCTATATCAGGGATTTTTTTTTTTCTGGTTTTCTTCTTCATCATCTTTCCTTTTTTCTTTCGTGACTTATGAAGGTTAATAAACAACTTCTTTTTTGCATGATTTTTGATACACATGTTCTTGTTCTTCATGTCGACTCATTATAATTTTTTTTTTTTTTTTTTTTTGACAACAATAATTTTAATTGTTGATATGTACCTGTTAGCATTCATACACGTTCAAAATTAAACTATATTACATCATTGATTAGCTACATATGTTTGTTAATTGTTAATTTAATTAACTTATTGGTATAGGGTGACAATTTATTTAGATTATTCATATTTCATCAGGGACCTTGGATTCACTGTCTAGTTAATTAAATATTTTACAAACTTGCACATGCGATCTGACCAATATTAAACCGAATGATTCTGTGTGGGGATTGAAGCTTAGAGGAAAAACCGAGGAGGAAATTAATTGCTAAGGGATGATCAGATAAATGAGTGGATAGTTTTTCAATGAAAGAATACAGAAAAACCTGTAGTAGAAACACCGGGAAAAACAGAGCATAGAGAAAAGCTTGCACATGCGATCTGACCAATATCACACACATTTCATCATTTTTTTAATCAAAATTTACTAAAAATCTAATTTTAGTCTAAACCAACCAGGGGTAGAACATAGAGAAAAGCTTCAACTCCTTCACAAGTAGACAGTATCAGATGTTGCACCCTTGATGAATATTATGCACAGCCTCAATCTCAAAACCAGAAACCTACAAGATCTTCCATGGGGGAAACTTTGTTTTCTATAGACTTATGGGTGGAAGTCTTGGTGTACCTGGGAATTGGAATGATATCCGTAATCAAGCTCCATATGACAAAGAAACATACATTAAGCTCATGTCCAAGAAGAATTTAACAAACATTGAGACAGGAAAGGTGTTAACGACTTATAAATTACAATTGCTTGGTAACTAGGAGCTACAACACTCTGGGATTCCAGGAAGCTTTAATGGTGTCATAGCTTAACTTCATGAACCTAGGAGAGAGTGACTGACGACTCAGTAGTTGAAAAATTTTCTGCTGCTCTTGGCTGTAAAAAGTAGGGTTTTGGTGGGATTTGAAGAGATTCCATGTTCCCTTCTAACATTTCTATAACCGTGCTCATCGATGGTCTAGTTGTAGGATCAGTTTGTATGCACCATAAGCCAACTATTACCATTTTCCTTTTCTTCAAAAGTTCATCTTCGTTTGTAACTCGGTTAAAATCAAGTTCAAAATTCTGTTCAAGGTGCTCATAGATCCAATCAGGAAAATATTTTTCACTCGAGTTATCAACTCTAACATCAATATTTTTCGTCTCTCCAACCATTTCCAAAATCATCGTACCATAGCTGTAAACATCTGATTTGGAAGAAACTACATTGCTATGAACTATTTTTGGAGCAATATATCCTATTGTCCCTCTGTACCCTGACATTGCCACTATACTAGACCTATTGGGGCAAAGTTTAGCCAAGCCGAAATCCGATATTTTAGGGATGAATTCTCTATCCAGAAAAACGTTATGTGGCTTTATGTCGAAGTGTAAAATCCGTGTATTACATCCTTGGTGCAAGTATTCTATTCCCTTAGCAATGCCAATAGAAATTTGAAACAATTTTTCCCATCCTAACAGACATTCTGCTATGGAGGTATTGCTGCATATGAACTTCTCAAGAGATCCATTGGGCATGAACTCGTAAATAAGAGCTCTTTTGGAACCCTCAAAGCAAAATCCTAGGAGAGTAACAACGTTAATGTGGGAAGTTCTACTGATACTTGCAACCTCATTGATAAGTTCTTCTCCGTTGCCTTTCAATTCTTTCAAAATCTTTACTGCTACAAGACGGCCATCAGTTAACTTTCCTTTGTAGACACTAGCAAGGCCCCCTTGTCCTAAGTTGTCACTGAATGAGTTAGTCATTCTCTTTAGATCAGAGTAGTTGTATCTTCTTAGTTTAAGATTCTCATTGTTCTTCAGGAAGAGTTCAATCTTTTCATGGTTTTGCGTTTTTGCCTTCAAATTCAGCATGTACTTCCTCATTTTGTAAGTGAACAAGATTACAGAGAAGAGGACTATCGCTGCAGCTGAAACACCTGTGATGAAAATGGATATCTATGTTTATAAATGAAAAAACAAAACAAATGGTACTGAAATTTGGAAGAGTTACCTGCAATTAGTTTCAATTTACTCCTTCCTGCAGCTGAAGTCAAAACACCTGTCTCATTTTTCTGAGTATACTCTCCTGCATGTAAAATTTTTACAGGACATGAGTGCAATTTTAAAGTGGCAACAGAAAATTATCTGGAGTCAAAAAATTCTGTTAAATTGCAAAGAAAATCAATGTAATTCAACAAATTTAGTGCTCTGTATATGATATAAATTCTGAATGATAAAAGTGCTAATGCTAACCAATTCACAAATTATCAAAGGTTCCATAAAAGCTAGACTAAGTTATAAAAAGTATATATTTTTCTCTGTACCTGACATAACTGCTATAGATTATGGTGCTAAAAGGCTGAAAAGGGGTGACTAACTATGTATATTACCATTAGAAATTACTGATTATACCTTTTTTCCCATGGAAATTCACTCCTCCTGTTAGTTGTACACGGGCCTCCTTTTCGATGACAAAACAGACTTCTGCTGATAAGTGTAAATATTACCCTTATTTTGGCTATTATACAAATGTTAGTCGCCCAGGTAGGATTTGTATTGATTTTGCGTTGTTTTTGGTTTTTTAAGACAAGTTCTGACCTTTCATGGCATTATTGTTAAGAGAGATAAAAAAGAAGAAAAACACGCGTGCTCTGAATGCTTTTGAGATGCCAAACGAGCAACACCGGTATGAAAAAGTAAAACAGCGGAAAAAACATGTTAAGTTCTCTCTAGCGAGCCAATGGCTTGCTCGAGCAAAAAAGAACTGGAAGGACAACTCAGCTGAAGTTGATTTCCGCTGCAGCAAAAACCACTCAAGGAAAGGTTTCTAATTCAGAAAGGATATGTAACGGCTATTGATAGTTCTTGAAGGGCAGTTTTGGCATCCAATAAATAAGAATGCATCGCAGATTTATTGGACAACATAGATGTGATAAACAACATTATTCTTTTTGCAACAGAAAAATCTACACCCATAATGAGCTAGGGTTTCAAGGAGAAGAAGAAAGATAATTTATGTCATGGTTCCAGCGAAACTTATGGAGGTTTAAATTCCACATTGGAAGTATGGGCTTCCTTTGTGTTGTTTATGTAAGTTTGGGTTCTCCAATTTCAATGGTTAGCTTTTGAAGTATGGCTCCCCAAGTTGTATGACAATTTACTGCATATCGAAATTCAAGCTATATATATATTTGCTGAGTGTATATGTCTGAATTGATGAGAGAAATTAGCAAGGTGTTGCCTAAAATTAGTAGGAGAATTTTGAGTGCTCAATAAATAATTAGTTAGTGAGGAAATTTTTGATGTCCATAACAAAATAATAATATTTTTGGTGTTAAACTAAACAAATCCCAGAACAGGGATTATGTATCTTAGCAGCTTGGTATTCTGTTCAAGTTTCTACATAATACTGCACTTGACTAGTTTGAAACTCACAATGCAAAGTATCAATGAAAAGCAGAGTAGGATTATGACAAAAAATTGGATAATATCAAGGAAATTACCAATAGGGTGACTTTACTAGAATAAAATTACAAATTAAACGACTTAATTAAAGACTCTGTTCAAAACTGAGTTGCTAATTGTAGGAGTTCTATTCATCTTCCTCTATACCAACATTCTCAATCTATTCAGGCAAAAGAGCTTCCCAGATAATACAATTGATTATTACTTGAACTTTGATTTTGACCAGAGTTTGATCCATCTATAATATTGACTAGAAATAGTTTGATCTGATCTATATCATTCTGTTTGACTTAAATTGCATTTTATAAATTGGGATGAAATAGAGAAGGATTTATATGTCGTGTAGCAAATTTTTTTAATAAAATCTTGATGGAGCAAGTTTGGATCATTTTAAGAGACTCAAAGTTGGAAAAAATATTGTAAGTATTGACTGGTGGTTCCAACCCAAACGCTCCCTCAGCTGACTATGGTCGAACATTCTGTTTTTCTTGTTTCCCTTTTGCAATTCGGAAAATTTTCTTGGCAAAAAGAAACATGTTAGAAGGAGACAGCAACCAGTATTAATAGGATTTGATATAATTTCAAAAAAATATATTTTCTGTGTCTATAAGGTTTATTTAAATATCTTGATAGATTTAGAACCCGACTGAACGAATGACAAAGTATGGTTTAATCTATTAATCCTACTTATGTTTAATTATTAATTCTAAATTTATGGAGAACACAAGAGTAAAGTCAGTAAAACGAAAAGTCATATCCAATCTTAAGAAAACAAATACTGAATAAAATTCACACACCGTCCTTTATGGTGATTATGGAAGCACTATAAAAAAAAAAAATTTTTTTGTATTTATTTTTTTGTCCTCACCATTTTGATATTCATTGATATTCCATGTTCATTTCCTTGCTACCAATGACCCAATGTATCTATAATAAGCTAAAGAATGAAATTGTGTTACATGCTAATGTTTTTTGGTTTACTGTCTCACGGGATTTAAACATTCACAAATTGCAAAATGACATTGCTAAAGCATTGAATCTAGATTTTTCGGCTGAAGGTCATGAGCACAAGAGAGCAGCCAAATTGGGTAAGGCATTCAAGAGAATAAAGAGATCTGTATTCATGTTCGATGATGTGTGGACTTCATTTTCTTCACATAAGATTGGAATTTCTCCTTTTCTTGCTATATATGGATTTAAGATGATAGTAATTAGTCTATCACTAGAGGTGTGTCGCAAAATGGAATGCCAAAAGTATCTAAAAAAAAATTTTTCGGGGGCGCTGCCCCCGAACCCCCGTGAGCCTCCCGTCCCTTCAACTCTAGGACCCCCCTACTTCAACAAGCTGGCTCCGCCCCTGCAGCCTGATCATCCCAATACTTGGACCACAACATCACTCCACCATACTTGGGTGATTTCTTAATCATCGGAATAATTTCGGCTACCAGAACTTTCGGTGGAATGAACCCACTTCCGGCAGCCTCCGGGGCGGCCGGCAGGCCCAAAAATATCTTCCCTGCATTAATCGATGTTGTCCAGCGAGTCCAAGAATTGTTGATATTACCTGTATCTCCGGAAGTATACTGGCAAGATGGGTTGTTAAAAAACTGAACCCAAACATAGTCAAAAAGGCCCGTATTAAGTGCAGATTCTAGAAAACTGTCAGGAAATGGACACTGGGGTGCACTTGTTAAGTACACCTTTCTGCCAGTTCCATCATATGATTTCAAATATCTTGCAAGATCATCCCAATAAAGGGTTGATCCAAACTCAATATCGAAATCAATTCCGTCCAATACAGCGTCTCCTAGCGGCCGAGAAGTAGATGAACCACCCAAGATATTGTTCCATAAATAAGTTGCTACATTCTTTGCATCTTCTTTAGAAGCCAGAGAGTAGCTTCCAACGCCACCGCCAAGGGACAACATCACCTTAATGCCGCGACTTTGGCAGTGGCGAATTTCATCGCTTACGGCTGTACAACCATTCGAATTCGGGTTGCAATGGCCAGCCAGGTTGATTTCTGGGGTTTGCCCATTGCCAAATTTGCAAAGAAAGGCTATGTTTACATAAGAAAATCTGCCGGTGGCGCAGGTTTGAGCTAAGGTGCCTTCGTTGCCATTTTGGCCCCAGTAGACGGCGATTCCGCCGCCAGTAGACAGGTTTGGAGTAAAAATAGGGACAGGAGTAGAGGCGTGACTTGACGTTTATTTGCCATTTTCGTATGGTAGTGACTAGCGTGATTGAAATTTTCAATGGATCTCGTGCTTTTATAGAATTCATGAGGAATTTTTAGTGGACAGAATTTCATTGGTTATCAGTGGCCAGTGGGGTTATCCTTAATAAAGTTTAAATTTTTTAATACTTTGTACCTTGGGTATAGAGGTGTCAAGACGGACGGGCCGGCCATGACCCGTGAAAACCGGCCCGTGAAAACCGGGACCGCGGCCGACCCGTGACCCGTGAGG